AATAAATTCTTTCCTTTATAATATTCAATTTAATGTTGTCGTGACGGTAAGCAGCAATGAGCACAGGAGGGAGGTACACTAATAAAATTCCACACATTTTTAATGACGAATTTCCATGTGAACCACACATAAACAGAATCCACCCAGAAGCACACATGAAATTTATGAGTCAAATGAATATGATGTGTGGTTACACATGGCTATTATTTGTATACATATTAAGTATGTGTCTGACACATAAATATCATTTGTTGATCACATTGCAAAAATTCATTTGGGACACATAAAAACAATCTTTGAAATTTTATTAGTGTAGCACAAACCTTCAAATGCTGCTGTATCAGTAAATATTGGAAACGCAAACAGTGACGTTATTGTAGGGAGCGATGCTGATGTTGACGTTATGTTCGTTAAATTTATAACGCAGTCTGTGTCTGTCTGGTGAGAGTAAATAGTTTTTTTTTCGATGTAAATACACTTAACGAATTTAACAACATTTTTTTTTTAAGATCGAAAAGATCGAAAGAAGGGATCGATTTTTTTCGATCTTTTTGTGGACAAAGAATCGATCCGAAAAATCGGAAATCGGGATGAAAAAGATCGATCTTCCAAAGATAGATCCAAGATCGCCCAATCCTAGGCGTGACACTTGGTCCTGCAGTAAGCAGACCAAATCAGCGGCTAAAGGTGGATCACGGCGTGACCACAATGAGGAAAAATAATGATGTAAACCCCCTCTCCCTTTCACAACAACCTCTCCCCCTCCCCCATTCACAACAATTTCTCCCCCTCCCCCCTTCACAACAATCTCCCCCCCCCCCTCCAACACCCTCTCTTTACCCCCCCCACCCCACTCATCAACAACCTTTTATATTTTTTGAAATGACGTTTCACATTTATCAAGGGATGGCCGATTTTCATTCGAATAATTGATAAATCGATTAACTAACCGAAAAGTAAAATATATGTAATCGGTTATATCGTGCCGATATAAGCATTAACATCTCCATAGGATCATCACCACCGATCGTTTCAAACATGTGCTGCACTCTTATTGGTTGAAAAATGGCAGCACAGCGAACAAAAAATAATCGATTAGTTGTTATTCGAGTAAATAAAAAAATGAACATCTCTGATTTTGGTGTGTTTGTTTTGATAAAAATGAGCGCAAAATTTCATCTCTACCAAAGGGGCAGCAAAACCACAAAATTACCTTGAATACGGGGGGTATTCATTGGATGAAAGGGACCGTGAAAGAGGACACTAAAATAGAAAGTTTTTCTTCCGACAGTTTCATCTTAGTATTCATCTTTGTGTGTACTTCTGAGTGGATTCTGTTTATGTGTGGTCAAATGAAAATCATGTGGAATTTCACATGGATATTTGTCAAGAAAAATGTGTAAATTGTGTTGAGTCAACCATAACCGAAACATTGAAATACTTGAAAATTTTAATAGTCAAAAATGTGTGGTTCTACGTCATACTGCGGTCGGGTCTAGTACACAACCCTTTAATTTTTTTTGACCATGTCAAACAGTGGAATTTAAATTGAAGTTTAATTTAAATGGTCTACTTCAGTACATACCGCGCACTGTTAGTGGCAGTGTCCATGATGTCTTATTGGCTAAACATCGATTTCAGTGACAAGGATTCTTCGTTCACTGTGTTTCATGACTTTTACTATTCGGTCAGCGACAACTTCAACCCCAGTTCCTGTTATGTTAAGTACTATCCACACACTTAGTTTTTTTTCTACCGAGCTCGGCTGAGCAAATCTTGGCAGGCCATTACCACTTGTACCTGTACAACCTCTAGTGCTACATGCATTCCACAACCAAGTCACTGGTATCACATGTTGTTCAACATTGAATTTATGAAGTTCTTGTAAATGTAAGAAGATTAATTACAGATTATTGAAAATAAAAATTAATTATAATTTGTTGCATAGCATTTTTTTGAAACATTCACAAACCGGAAGCCACCATTTTGGATTCAAAAATTGCGTGAATCATCAATTTATGGCCTCTACACGTCGTTTTCGTTCCGAAAATATCCATATCGTTGGCTATTTGACAGTTTTTCACAAAACCGGAAGCCGCCATCTTGGATTCCAAACTGGGATGAATCATCGATTTCCGGCCTCTGTATGTCGTCTCGGTTCCAAAAATATCCTATTGTTGGCTATTTGACAGTTTTTCACCATCTTTACCGCCAGTCTTGAATTCCAAATGGCATGAATCTTCGATTTTCGGCCTCTACGCGTCGTTCCCGTTCCGAAAATATCCATATCGTTGGTTATTTGACAGTTTTTCACAAAACCGGAAGCCGCCATCTTGAATTCCAAAATGGCATGAATCATCGATTTCCGGGCTCTACACGTCGTTCCCGTTCCGAAAATATCCATATTGTTGACTATTTGACAGTTTTTCACAAAACCGGAAGCCGCCATCTTGGATTCCAAACTGGCATGAATCATCGATTTCCGGCCTCTGTATGTCGTCTCGGTTCCAAAAATATCCATATTGTTGGCTGTTTGACAGTTTTTCACAAAATCGGAAGCTGCCATCTTGAATTCCAAAATGGCGTGAATCATTGATTTCCGGCCTCTGGATGTCGTCTCGGTTTCAAAAATATCCATATTGTTGGCTATTGGCAGTTTTTCACCATCTTCACCGCCAGTCTTGAATTCCAAAATGGCATAAATCATCGATTTCCGGCCTCTAAACGTCGTTCCCGTCGCGAAAATATCCATATCGTTGGCTATTTGACAGTTTTTCACAAAACCGGAAGCCACCATTTTGGATTCAAAAATTGCGTGAATCATCGATTTCCGGCCTCTAAACGTCGTTCCAGTCGCGAAAATATCCATATCGTTAGCTATTTGACAGTTTTTCACAAAACCGGAAGCCGCCATCTTGGATTCCAAAATGGCATGAATCATCGATTTCCGGCCTCTGCATGTCGTTCCCGTTCCGAAAATATGTATGTACCCATGTTGTCCGGTGAATCCACTCGAAGTACACTTCCAAGTTTGTTTTTTAGCTAAGTCCATTCCTCAGAAAACACTTAGAATGTTTTGCATAACCACGTTATTTAATAAAAAACCGTGTAAAAAAACCGCGTTATTTCGAAAATCGTCGAAAAAAAAACCGTGTATAAAAAACCCGTGTAAAAAAAGCCTTCAGTGTACGTATCAAGCTTATGTTGAAATAACAATAGAGTCTCCTCAAATCAACAATATCTGCCCATTCGAAAGTGACTATGAGTATTGCTATCTTAACGTGACGATTTTTTTCTTCGTGTACCGGTAAGTGAGTGAATCATAGGATTTCAATTTACTGCCGCCCAATTTCAGGCTCACTTCCAAGAACAAGCGGATCATGAAACAAACAAACTGCACGTTTACGAACAACTCAGATACATACCAATAGGGGAAAGTGGGGCAATTTCATCCGCTTAAAAATCAACGTATTGAACATATTTTACGAAACATCTGTTGCCGGAAGCCTACTTGAACTATCCATTTCATTTTAGTTTAAATAATTACTTTTCTTAAGTGCGAATATTCGAAAAATATTAGACTAGCTCAAAATGTCAAAAATGTCAAATCTGAATCAGAACATAAGGTCTATCAGTAGTTTCTTATAACTTATCGTCATGCAGCAGCTATATGGTTTCTTATATGACGCGATGTTTTTCTAGTTTTGGGGCAATATGAGCACCACTGATATTCCAAACATTTTTTTCTTAAATTGTTCATTTTTGTATTATTCTTTTTTATAAACACGACTGCACAATATGAACTCACGTTTGAAGAAGCTGCTTTGGTGAAAAAATGAAAAAAAATATAGCCTTAAATAGGCAGTACTTTTAAATTTAATTTATTCTACAGAAAGTAATTGCACAGACAAACAGACATAACACTCGAAAGTTGTTAATCGAACAAGCATTTAACGGACAATTTAAAAGTATCGTAGTTGGTAGTACCGCCACCTGTGGCGCGCATAGTCAATTCTCTTGTGTTTGACGTATACACACTACCGCCATCTGTTCAGCGTAGTGCTCACCACAGTGTACTCAACAGATGGCGGTAATGTTTTAGCGACGATGTTTTACAGTGAGAAATATTCAGTGTGTTATGTCTGTTTGTCTGTGGTAATTGTGTCTTTTACATCTTTTCTGCTAAAACTAACCAATGAACAGTTGAACCTTCATAAAGCCTCAAAAGAAAAGAATATTTTTACCGGGCGCTCGTTTTCCGCCAACGGTTTTATTCCGATTACACAACGATGATTTTCAACTTTTATTTAATAAGATTCAATGCAAAAGTTTACCTTCAACATTCTATTTCTATTCATGATGTAAATAGGGCTTGAAACTAACCATTAGGCTTAAAATCATTCGAATTTTCCACTGAATTTGTTATCATTAGTGATGATTTTCCTAAGGTGGCCACCACTGCCCCACTTTCCTCTATACCTACGGATTCATAAATCTTACGCCTGAATTTGTCGGTTACGGCGACGAAATGTTGTAATTTACCGACCGAAGATATAAATCCGGTGTTTGGTTGTGTGCTCACTTTAGCGACAGCAAGTGGAGCAGCTAAGGAAGCAAGAAATTTTTGTAAACATTCCAACAAATTTCCTCTTTTTCCGTTTCTTTGTGTCTGTGTGAGTGAAACCGTGCAGTTAATAAGGTGTTGAAAGTGTCTTAAAAATAACATATGTCGTCAATTCCACTAGAATGGGTAATAAATAGCATTTTCACAGTGATCATTTAGTGTGCAACCTGTGTTTCTGTGGCCAATGTTGTTTCCCGTTCTCCACGCCTGCTGTGACTACCACCATCTGTGTCGAATAAAACGATTACTACGATCACCAACCACCGGCAGTGTGCCTGTTCTACTGTTATACATGTTTACATGCGATTAGTTTTCTTTTCTAAAAAGGGCGTATTTTTGTTTATTGATCTTTCGCACGGCTACCTACGATCAACAGACTTTGGCGAATCGTACTCCACCAAAGACGAAATCCTTCAGCTCTCGTCCGCCATCAGCCGGAGGTCATCGATAACAGCAACACAGCCCTCCTCACCGCCTGCGTCCTATCGCCCCGCGGAGTTCGAATGTGTTGTCCCGGTGGTGAAGAGCCATCATCATCTCCTGCAACACCAGCGTCCATGTGAATCGATCGAAAGCAACCAACTGTACCGTTATCAAAGATACCAAGACTACAGCAACCGTCACCTACTGCAGCAGGGCGAAGACGCCGAACTCAACGGGTCCAAGGTAAGTGTAACAGTTTTCTTTGCGAGATTTTATTGTTCGAACCATGCCCTGGTCGGTATGTGGATTAGTAGACGACGACGACGACGACGACGTGGTTGCAACGATCGTCGGTCGTCGCCAAAATACTTCCGATCCGTCAATCCATCACGCCAGGCCGACGAGTACAACAAGTTCAATCTTCGAATAGTTTATTAGGTATACATATCACAGAGGGAGGGGGGATAGCATCAACCAACGACAATCCATTGGCGACGACAAATTGGCGCCGAAATAATTTTTCGATTAAATATTTTCCTCTCACATTCCTTTGAGCCCGAAGGGATGTTTTCAAACGAAAATCGAAGTAGTCTTTGCGCAAAAGCGTGAGTGACCAACGCACTCACGATATGAGACATGCGCACCTCGTAGCTCTCACAAGAGAGCGCTGCAGGCAAAAACTAAGCTCTCTCCAGGCGCCACATGCATTGCTGCCATCTGTTGGAATTTCAGCGAAGCTCCTCACAACCGAAACTTTGCCTAATATCAAATTTCACTGAAAAAGACGCACATGTTCCATCGTTTCCTTCCACCGTCCCCGGTCCCGGCTGATGGTGCTTCATGGAGCGATGATCGCGCAACTCAACCGGGACTGTCTTTTGGCGCTAGATTCGTCTTTTTCCTGTCTGCGGATATTTTTCTGCTTTTGCGACGACGACGGCGACGACGCTGTTGGTGATGATTTAATAGTTTTATGCGGTTTTCGTTGTTTCGGTTCGGCTTCCGTCCCCCATGTGGCACGTGGATTGCTACACTACGATGTGGATTAGAGGTGACAGCTGGCGGTTGCTGCGGCAAGCGTGGGCTTTACAGCTGTGGTTTTCTGTTTAGCGAATTTCGGCCGTCATTTGTCACTTTTCAAAACGGGATTTGGATTGTGTAGTTGTCCATGTTTTGACTCAATGATTGTCGTTTGAAAGACATTTATTTATCATTTTTTTAAGGAACTGCCGTTATGGTTCGTTAATTTCGTTAACGTATTTTTAAGAGTAGAGTAGGATGGTCTAAAACGCACCCCTGGGATAAAATGACAGGTAACTCTAAGACCAGAAGGTTCCCAAGAAACGTGCTCAACTTTTTGGCTCAGCTCTGGTACTATCTTCGGTCCCAAGCTAATCGATGCACCCCTCGAAACATAGGAAAATCTACGAGCCCCTCATTTTATCTGTCAAACTTACATAGCGAATCAAAACAAAAACAAACGTTAATCGATTTGCTTGGGACCAATAGGCTAGTCAAGTAGTGAGCCAATTTAAAATCGTTAGTTTCCACCGGTGGCCCTACGCTCTTTTTCATAGCTTTCCGATTGATTTCGTGACTTTAACGAGCAGCATTGCTAGTTCAATATTTGAAAAACATAAATTTTTCAAATAGAAGGGATAAAGATTGAAATTGAATTAATTGAGATCTTAGACAATTTTTTTAAGATTTGATTAATTGAAGAATCTTCAAGGCTGTGAGATCTATTGCAATTTTCAAAATCACGAGTCAGATTCCTCAGATTCTGAAAAAAAATTAATTGTATAGAGCTGAAGAAAGTGTTCAATTCCTGGACCTTAAACAAATAATCCAAGCTAGAAGAAATTTTTAAGATTCTGGAACGAAGATTCAAATGTCTGATATTGGCTTTTTATATGATCCCAGATATGAAAACAAATATCAATCTAATGGATCTTAGAACATTTTCAAGGTTCATGGGCTTGAAAAAAATATGAGATTTTCAGAAAAATGTCAATGTGAATTTAAAGCGGATTCTAAAGCGTATTCTAAGAAAGTTCTGCCTGAAAATCCATTTTAGTTTTGAGGAGAACTTGAAACGAATTCTATGGAATGCTTACAAGGTTATTCTGAGGACCTTTTGATTCCTGGTAAATGCTCAGAAGATTTCCAAGGGAGTTCTGAGAAGAATTCCTAGGTAGTTCTGAGAAGAATTCAAATGAGAAGAGCTGCAATTTAACTCTAAATAGAATTCCAAGGTGAGATGATAGTTTAAAAGATTATTTAAGCATAATTACTAACTAAATGTGAGAATAATTCCAAGCGAATTATGAGAGCATTCCAAGTAAATTCTAAGAAGAAATTCAACGGGATATCGAAGCCTGATTCCACTAGAGACGAGGAGACAACTTATTGAATGCCAAGAAATTCTGGCTAAGAATAGTGAAGAAAATTACAGTACCCCCGTGCAGTCGAAGGAATCGTTAAGAACCACTACGTGGACGACTCGCTGGAGAGTTACGGCAGCGTAGAAGAAGCGATTCGCGTTTCTGAAGAGATGCGGATGATTCATGAAAATGGAGGATTCCAGTTGAGAAACTGGTTGTCTAACAGCGAAGAAGTACTGCGCCGTCTCGGTGAAACGAAGCCGCCTATCGACAAGAACATCGGTCCAGACAGGAAGGAGTTCGAACGTGTACTTGGGATGCTGTGGCTGACCAAAGAGGACGAACTGTGTTTGTCCACAGCGGTGCAAGAACCTATTCAAAAGTTGATTGATGAGGGAGAACGACCGACGAAAAGACAAGTGTTGAAGTACTTGATGGGTTTTTTCGATCCACTGGGTATGTGGAGCGTATTCCACGTTCACGGGAAAATTCTTCTGCAAGATGTTTGGCGAAGTGGAACCCAATGGGATGAGAAAATCAACGACGCAGCATTCGAACGTTGGATGATGTGGACAAGCCTGTTCCGGACTATCGGCGAGATCCGTATTCCCCGGTGTTACTTCGAGAACGCGACCATCCAGCATTATCAGAACCTCCAGCTGCACATTTTCGTTGACGCCAGTGAGGCAGCTTACGCAGCTGTAGCGTACTTCCGAATCATGAATCCGGACGGAGTTGTTGAATGTAACCTGGTTGCGGCGAAGACAAAGGTGGCCCCACTAAAACCGTTGTCTATACCTCGATTGGAGCTACAAGCTGCGGTGTTGGGAGTCCGGTTGATGCAGTTCGTCGAAGAGAGCCACACCGTGAAGATCCAACAGCGGTTTCTCTGGAGTGATTCATCAACCGTTCTGGATTGGTTGCGTGCTGATCACCGGAGATACAAGCAGTTTGTCCCAAGCAGCACACATCCATCAAAATAAGTTGCTGCAACTTGATTGATACTGAAATAAGTAACATACAAGTAACCACAATTGTTCAGTGACAAGTGTGCTGCTAAGGGTGGCGTGTCGAGTTGGAGAGTTGCTGACGGCATCCGACGCTCACGAATGGCAGTGGGTGCCATCATAAATCAACCCAGCAGATATGGCAACCAAGTGGGGAAAGGGTCCCTGTCAAGAAGTAGTTGGTGTCTGGTTTAAGGGACCGGAGTTCCTGAAACAACCAGAGTCAGAGTGGCCTCGTCAGAAGACCGTAATGCTGTCCACCGAAGCAGAGTTGTGGCCGTGTCTTGTGCACCACTACGTTTCCGTATCCGATATGGTCTTTGATTTGGAGCGATTCTCTCGTCTGCCTCGGCTGATTAGGTCAGATGCATACATACATCGCTGCTTCGACAACCGGAGGCGCAAGACTGAAAATGAAGCGTCGATCGCTGGTCACTTGGATTCGGAAGAACTGCAAAAGGGACAACGGACGCTGATTGGCTTGACGCAATGGCAGGCCTTTCCGGATAAAATGGCAATACTTACGCGCAATCAACAGAGGTCAGCAGGACAACAAATACAGCTCGAAAAATCAAGCAGCCTCTATAGGCTGTCACCCATGCTGGATGAATTCGGGATCCTGAGAATGGATGGGCGTATCGCAGCCGCTCCAAACGTAACCGAAACCGCAAAGTTCCCTATTATACTTCATAGGAAACACCGATTCACCAACCTTTTACTGGATGATTATCATCGAAGCGGACGGTTGAGGGGGGGAGGATGTTGATACTGGCAACACTTCAGGTGACGCTCCAATGACGACCGCAGTCAGCTGTCAAAACGACAGTACGGAAGGAGAAGCAGCAGATAAAGAAGGGCAAGATCATAATGACTTGCATGATTATTAGTAGTTGCGGTTGCCAGAGATAAAGTCCTTTGTTGAAAGGTGAAATTTCCGTTTATCTACGATTGATTTATTCTTCCTAAATTCTTCCTTAAAAACTAAATTTAATCTTACAGCTAGCAAAAACTTACATCTAAACTGAAGTGATTATTGTAAGTAATACACCATAAGCTATTAAATTATACTTACACTAACTAACAGAAATAAAACTTACAGCTAAAGCTACATTACAACCAATTCAACGTGTGTTGTAAGTTGCTAAAAGAAATCGGACAGGGGTTCACAATTCCTAACCTACGGAACATCAGCGGGAATAAGAATGTTAAAATAATTCTGTAGAAAATTCCATGAGAGTTCTGGAAATAATTTCTGGAGAATTTATTTAAGTTGTATTCCAAAGGAATGCTGAGGAGGTTTCCAAGGGAATTCTTAGGAGAACCTGAAAGGTATTCCATGGAGTATTCTAGTGCGATTCCTGTATGAGAATTTCATGGAAACTAGTAGGGGAATCTTGAAGCATATTTTGAGGAGTTTTTCTTCTTCTTCTTCTTCTTCGCATTTCAAGCTTATTGCTTAATGCATATTATTGCACAGTTATTAATTGAGAGCTTTCGATGCCAATACCAATGCATGAATTTGTATATTATGTGGCAAGCACAATGATACTCTATTATGCCCAGAGAAATCGAGAAAATGTTCAACCCAAAAGATACCCTCGATCGAACCGGGAATCAAACCCACCGCCTCCGGCTTGGTAATACCCTGCCTTTACTGACTAGGCTATGAGGAGTTCCTAAACAGATTTTAAACGTAATTTAAGGAATAATTTCATCGAAGTTTTGTAGGAATATTAAGAAAATTCTGAAGAAAATTCCATAAGAATCAGAAGAATCCTAAAGTGAATTTTAAGGTAATTATGCTACAATTATTAGAAATTCAAAATGAATCGCAGATCGAATTTCAAGAGTT